ACCTATATACTGAAAAAATACGTGTTTTTTGATAATTTCACAAAGGTAAAACTAATTGGGTACATCTCACTAGATAAAAAATTAGTTATTGTCATGAGCATATGATTTAAGATGTCACGGGACGAATACCGATATCGCATATTTATTCGTCATCTATACTATATGGTAGCGCTTTCATTAAATAAACTCGGTATGAGAGAAAAATAAACAGCATCGCGACTCGCGGAGAGAAAGAGACTATGTAAAAGCACATAATTGGTCGAGGTCTCTTTTTATCCCCGTGTATATCGCGCCGACACATCTTTTGCACTCGCGTACATAGGTATATATACACCCTGCACCAATATGCGCGCGTCGTATGCATTATATCGATGGAAAAATCAACCCGGCCAATGCACACACATACACACGAGTGAGTGGGTTCGATAACAGCGATATTTTCGATTATCTGATGCAGCCGGCAATTAAAATGCCTTTGGCTCTCCTTCGCTCTCGAGCGACGCGCTCCTGTTGTGCGGCGCGCAAATTTCGACATCCATCAGCTAAGCGACCGATTTTTCCCTTGTCGAGCGATCGACGGGGAGGTCGTGAAAAAACGATGGTAATTGAGAAAAAGAGGAGGAGAACTGCAAATTGCCGGGCAGATAAGACGCGCGCGCGCGCGCCTTCTTTTTTCTCCATTTGTTGAAATTTTGATTAGCCGAATGCGAGAGCGTGGAAAAACATGCCGTCGATATTTATTTGGTGTATTCAAGCTCTTTTATATATATATTACGCACACGTTGAGTTTTACCGATCGGTCACTTTTCGCATATTTTTACATTAAATTTAACCGATAAAGCCCTCGCGCGATAATAATGGATAACTATAGAAGCTGCGAGCTATATATCGACGGAATATTTCGTTGTTTTCGTGTTTTATCTCCACACGGTTACCGGCTCTGTGGGTCACGGCCACGTCGAATCGGCACATGTTCGTCAGCACAAACGAAATTTTTTCCCAAAACCAGCGTAGCGGAGAGAAAAAAAAAAGCACACACACAAATCCTTTCCACTTTTGTCTTTCGAAAACCAGTCGTGCGAAGGAGAATATACACGGAAAGAATAAACAAAACAAAAACAAAATCACGCGTCTCGTCCGATCCAAGCTTGATTGTGTCTCGACTAATCGTCGATCGGCCAACAAGTATACTCTGACACGTTGTAATTGAATCGCTCGTCTAAGCACACGAGTTTATATCACGTGTATATATATACGTATACATGTATATAGCCACGCGCGCGGCAGCAAATTCAATCTCGGGACTCTTAAGTAATCTGTCATCCCGTCATGTATCTCCCGAGTCAAAAGTTCAACGCCGCCACCGCGCGTCCACATGGGAATGCAGCGCGAGTAGTTTAATCATCCCCGTCGTCGGACCCTCTCTCTCTCCCGTTCAATTTGCCTCGGTGATAAGTTAATGACCTTGAATGACGCGGGACACCGCGATCCGAGGTGCGGATACTAAACAGAGCCGATTTATCGCGGGACAATTACGCAAACTCTTACGCGAAGACGCGAAAAATGCGTGCGATGTGTGCGCGCGAGTATAAGAGAGATAATAATGTGTATTTCATTAGCGAGGATTTTTTTTTTTTTTTCTCTTCGCATCTGTAGCTGGAAAATTGTTGCCGCCGTGACAAAGAAAGTTGCGAAACAACAGCGCGTTGGTTTTTAAATTCTTGCACGAGCGCCGTGCATATAAATATGTATACACATAGTTGATAAATTAATCATCGAGTGAAAAACTATATCGATGTATTCCGCATATAATATGTGTGTACAATACGCGAGGCGGAGCTGTAATCTCGCGAGCTAATTTATATTAATCGAGTGTCGAAAGAAAAAAACACCCGACAAATTTGTCAGGGTTTCCGTTACACCCGATCGATACATATTTCTCGGCTACACGACGGCGCCCACGTTTCGTTACAGCACCGTCGATTAATTTGTGCGTAAATATATACGTGTACCGAATATCTTACACTATACATGTGCAGCGAGCGAGCAAACAAACGCCGATGTTTTCGTCGCGGCCAAGTTTTTATCGCTTCCGCGTGTGGACCCGTACCGGGAAAAATTAACTATAACCGCGTGCGCGTGTGTTTTTTAGAGCCCAACTCGCCCAACGAATTCGAATAAATAGTCCGAAAAAATGCAGTCGTCCTCCCGACCGGGTGGACCGTACCGTTATCGATCGACGAGCCCGTGACGTTTGGTGCAACTATACGTATATATATGACAAGAATCCCCCTCGCCGTCGAGAGAGAGTCAATAATCGATTTCTCCTTCCGCGCGATGACAAAGACGCGAGAAAAAACGCACCCTATACAGCTGCACTCGGCGCAACGGAGCTCGGACACCTTACGGAATCAAGGAGATGTAAAAAAAAGGGGGGCAGGTGATAAACGAGGCGTCGGAAAGGAAAGGGGGACCGGGCCGAGCGCGTGCGATCTTCATTCTCTTTTCCACGTCAAACGTCCGCAGCCATCGATCGATCGATCGTAAAAAAAAAAAAAAAAGCCGGCTTATGCAAATCGCGGTCACGCGAAACGTGATATCTGTGCAGTGGGTAAAAATAAGCGAGAGAACTGCCTTTCCTTTTCCTATAAATTATTACTCCTTTTGTACCGTACACATATAGATGTACGTACCGCGAGTGCTGACAGCGCAACGTCAGCGCCTTGTGCTGGCCCGGGGGCTCGAACCCAAAACGTACCATATACAACGTATATCAATGACGCGTCCCAAGCCGCAAAGGGGAGGAAAAAAGAGAGCCAGAGAGAGAAGAAACAATGGAAAGCACGAGGAAAAAAGGCTCTTCTGCTCCAAAGGTCCCCCAGTCCTTTTCTTTTCGCGTCGCCGGCTTGGGAACCCTCGGGCCATGGGGTGTGCGTGCATATAGCTCCTCGTGTGCTCGCGTTGGACGAAAAAAAAAAAAAAAAATCCAGCGCCCGTATCGCGTGCTCGCTAGGGTTGAAGGAGAAAGGGAGGTTTCGGGGGATCCATTACCAATGTTTTCCGTATACGACGTCACAGGCACTCGGATCCCACATTCCGAAATCAAGCTCGAAAAAAAACTGTATTATTTACGTGCAATGCGAGGTACAGTTACAAGTGAGGCATTTGGCGTTTCGCAATGGACTGATTGCGCGAGTAAGTAGGTATACATGTGCACAGAGGGACACATCGGAGACAGGAATAGCGCGGATAACCGGACAACAAAGCGGACCCCGTTTGTAGGTACAATCCCTACCAACTCCTCGTCTCTCTCTCTCTCTGCAACTTGTCTCTCTGTTTCTCTCGAAAATAAATGTTCAACGCAAACAGCCGCACACTATCGCATAATTGTATGTGTGTTCTCGCGATGCAGCGCGTTTTTCTTCGTTGTCAAGGGGACGAAAGAACGAACAACACCTCGGGACAAACAAACAAAGCTTTTCGGTGTGATCTTGCGCGTGCGAGGGCTCTACGTGTGGCAAAATACAAGCGTATACCTGTACTCTGTATCGATTAACGAGCGTAAACTTTTACTCTCGCACCTAAGAATAATTATAACAAGTATACGGTTGCATTTGAAAAAAAAAAAAAAAAAAAAAAAAAAAAACAAATCGTAAGAGTGAGAAATCGACTCGCGAGAAAAAGGAAAAGAAAGGGGCAGAGCAAGAGGTTGTGTCGTGGGTATATATTATACGCTACTTACTAGTCGGGAAGCCGCAGAGCTCAGGGAGAAAACTGCCAACCCACCGCGCCTCGCACGCGAGTTTTGATGTCGACTGGCTTAATACGCCACTACTCAAATACCACCCCCCCCTTGGGGAGGAGAAAACTTGTAACGCAGGAGAATCGAATGACCGGTAGTGTGTACGGCTTGTCCGTGGGCCCCAACACATTTCGTTCCAATTTACTTTTTTATACTTTGTATTTTGGTTTCCACAAATGCTTTGACCCTTTTGTTTTTTATTTTCTCGATTCCTCCCTTCTGTGTATACATTTACTTGGAGGCGCGTAATTCGTAAGCCGAGGGTCGGATTTTTGCGTCTTGTCTTGCGTGTGGAACTCCTCTTGGTACAGGGAAAAACTCGTGTATGGAGGATAAACGTGTAATTTGTAACAAAAATATTGTTTTTTTCACTCTAACCGAAAAGGCTCCTCGTAATAATTTTCCACGTCAATGGAGAGTGTTTTTCGAAATGACTTCTTTCGAAGGCCACGGACGTTTTCGCTCCCTCCCGCGACGACTGCACGCAAAAGTGTGTGTGACTCAGGAATTCCGGAGAAAGAGGAAAAAAAGCGAGAAAAAGAGTGAGTTTTTCAAACAATCGACTAGCTCGACGTTATACCAACAGACTGATTTTTTTTCCCTCTCGTAGGAAAAAAAGCCTCGGAATCCGCAAAACAGGAGCGGACACGTATTCCCCGTTATCACCTAATTATTCACAGCCGTCGATAATTGAATTATATTCCGAGCGTATATGTATACACGCCGTTGCACGATACATCACCCGCAGAGCTGCTACTATAAATTTCATTTTATTCGTTTTTCATCCTTTGCTACACATGCTCTCGCATGTGTACGCGCACCAAGGCACAAATGCAAATATCTAACATTCGCGTTATTCAATAAGCTCCGTTACATAAAAACCCACTGCTGCGTGTGCGGCTGGACAGCCCGCAACCAAACGCCGCAGCTTTCGCGCTCCAAATCCGGACGAGAGTGGCCCCGCAGCATCGCAACATGCGCGCGCGCGAAAATTCAAAAGCCGCCTTATCGGCATCATCGCTTGTAGCCTCGATAAGCGGGATCGTTATCACCCACCGTCGCCTCTTGACTGTGTGCCGTTGGTAACATCGCGAACAATCATAAACACACGCGAGACGCTAAAGTAAAAAAAAAGGAGCGCTCGCGACGTAGCGATGAAAATGAAAATACAAAAAAAAAACAATGAATATACACTCACGTGATTGAAGAAGGACGCATCCAGGCGCGTTGCCTCAGCAGCGTCCACGCATTGCGTCGGACTGGCCTGCGGAGGACTGCTCTCAAAAGCCACGCATCCGACGACACCCGGGCAAAATCCTCCTCCTCCTCCTTAAACTCACACTCACAGTACTATCGCTCGAGTCGCACTGATCAACTTTCAATACAAACTCGACGGAACAAAAAAACAATGCGAAACACCACTCATTAGCACTGACGATTGAGGCAAACAAACAAACAAAAAAAAAAACAACAACAACAACAACAAGGGGGGAAACACACTCGGGACCGGTTGAAGGCCGATCTCTCCCAATGTACCGATCCAACGCCGCGCGAGCTCCGAGCGCGCGAAATTAGTTCAGCAGTGCGGGGAGATCTCGCGACTCATCACCGACTCGAGCGGCTCGACACGCATGTTTCACTGTTTAACAACTGTATCAACCGATGGATTCAAGCAGCCGCTCTCGTTGTCATCGTAACCAGCTCCGCTGCGCACTGGATCGTCCTCGTGGACCGCGTTACGATCGGCCCGCAACAACGTCCGCACCACCTGCCGAGCACGTCCTCCCTCCTCCCCGTCGCCAATCTCATATTAACGGCGATCGTTAGGTCTCTGATCCGACGCCGTCCTGCGCCTCCTCCCCGATACACATCCACGGACACACTCGCACTCTGACCCTATATGTATATGTGTATGTATATCACGTACTCCAAGGCAACGGTTAAAATAACAAAAACACGGAAACTGCTCGGTGATTGTTGTTGTTTTCTTCGACTCTGTCGGCTCGAGATCCTACCTTGAAGGCGGCCGAGCGCGCACTGATTTTTAGGCGGCCGCGGCCGCTCTCGGCAAGACCGACTACGGCAGTTGCTGCGGCGGCAACGACTGCTGCGGCGCGCACCAGCGCTGCCGGCAGCACCACCACCACAACCTGACGCGGCAGGACGACTCGTTGAGAACAAGTCAGGGAGCAACCCTCGGCTGCAGCTACCGATCGGGCTCTAGGCCGATCCGATTCCACCACCGCCGGCCTCATCGGCTCGGGGTACAACACTGAAAGGGGGGGGGGTGTGATCGGCACCGCTCCGAGACCCGATTCAACCGACTAACACTAGCTATCCCTCTGTAAATCGTTGTCCCGAGTCTTGGTCGTCATACCGATTTCTCGCGGCAACCAAACACGCGCCAAGTGTATAGGTATGTCCAATGGCAATCGGCGCGCGTACGCAAACGGGAGTGCTGTACAACCAACTAAGTGATAGGCGCCTCGGCAGAGTCTCGATAGGCCCGTGCTCCGAAGCGACCATACGTCAGAGAGCGATCCCCGCGCTCGTGCTACCTCCTCTCGCCGGCAGCATCAGCTAGTACTTACCTACTCGCTGGTATATCCGCGGTATCCAGTGGCCGGAGGTGGTGGTGGTGCCGGGGAGAGCAGCCCTCTCTCTTCAGCTCCTCGGCATAGGCTAGCTGCAGCTGCTACTCCCTCTGTCTCGTTCTCTCGTCGCATGTGGTATGTATCTATATACACATTTGTACATCGAGCTTATACCTCAGGTGAGGCGAGAGCGCCCCACTCTACGTGCGTTACACATCACGGGCGTTTTTCTCCTCCTTGGGTTCCGTGTCGACCGTGATGAGAGCACGGCGCGGCTTCTTTCGTGTCTACGTTCAGTTATACTCATACCTATAGCGCGAGTGGGAGGGAGAGCCGAGTACGCTTTTTTCCCTCCTCCTCCTCCTTCATTTTTTTACAGTCAATACTTGTGCCCCCTACGCATCCACGGCCTTTTTTTTTCTTTTTTTTTTCTCATTAGTCGAATGTAACTGGATCAACGAGAGTGAGAATTTTTCTCTGTTTCTTGATTAATTTTACAAAATTTCACCAAATTTCTATCGTTATCCCGATTAGAGCAGAAAAATGGTAAAAGTAAAAACAATCGTACACCGGTTACGCGTGTATGTGCCGAAGCCTCCCCCACTGAGAGGAAGAAAACGGCACGCGTAAGTATCATGTATACGTCGACGACGAGGCGACTCGACTGCAGTTATTTTACACTGGAGTATTGCGATCATTCGCGCGAAATATATGTATGTACCCCACGAGAGAGGCGAAAGTGGACCTTTTATCAGAAATGATTAGTTTTTTTACCCTCTCGGCCGGCGGACTCAATTGGCTCAATTTTAAAGCGAATTTCAGGAAAACGCGCGTTACATATACCCCCTCCTCCCCTCCCCCGTGTGTGTGTCGTATACACGTACAGTACCGCTCGAGTAAACAAATAAATCATAGCGATATTAGCTCGGTGCACGTCTTTTTTTCAATTTTCTTTTGTCAACAGCTTTTTATTGCACTGAGAAATTGATACTTCAAATCAGCCGCGTATACGGAGCCTCAAGCGTGTAACGTTGTACTCTAGCGTTTGTTTTTTAATCAACCTAAAGAGCTCGATTATTATTTAACTCCATTAAACGGCTGGGGAAGCTTTTGTAACGTTTTTAATTAATCAACGTTTTAGTTTAATGAAACGAAAAAAAGAAAGGGAAAAATTGAATACACTCGGTATCTCTTGGTACAACTTCTCCGAATACCGATAAAAGGGACTTTCCCCGTATGCGCGAGCCATATCGCTCTAAAACATTCAACTTGGCCTCCAGACGATTAATGATGACTCCTCACGAATTTGTCGCCCCTCGACCCGAGTCCAACCGAGTTGAGATATATTCCAACTGTCCGCGTCACGTGGTACCTGTACCTTTTTTTTTTTTTTTTTTTTTTTTTGTCCCACATACGAGCAGCAAACATAGAAAGTGGCTATCGGAATAAGAAGAGCCGCGTATCGCGAGACCCCCCCGCTCGCATCATCGGCTTTTTACAACTGTACGTGTACATTTTTAGAGTGTAGGTGCTGATAGCACGTGACAATCAAGCTCTTCTATAAATCAATACTGCGCCAAACACGCAAAGTCTGTAACCATATATTATAATATTTACGGTGCTAAACATAATTAGTTCCTCGTCATCAAAAGTAAAAACTATGTATCACTGTATCCGGCAGTAATCGCTCGATCGACACCGAGTGCATTCGCCCGAGAAGCCAATGATCCAATACCAATGGCACGTACAATACACGCGACACATGTGCGGGCGATTCGAGCGCCAGCGAATATAACTTCTTGGCGAAAGCGATAGCGCGCTCGCCAGATTATTACACGGTTGCGTAAGCGCGCCCGCTACCGATCATTACCCGATTATCATTATCGGTTTGTCACCGATGCCTGTTGTATATTGTTATGTACATATACACGCGTGATGTTTATTCGGTGCTCGAGTATCGTTAGGTGTGGATACCGGCATTATCATCGTCGGCGCCCACCACGTGTGCCATTGTTGCTCTGGACGTGACGATTGAAAATCAGCTTTTATTGGAGAAATTCAGGGGAGGGAGAGGGAGATCGAGCGCAGATACAGCCGTATGTACTCAGCGTGATTCAGCGGTTCCGTTGCTCCCAGCGAGTTTAATGAAATTACGATACATCTCTCGCTACATATAGTGTTACAATATAGCTGCGTCAAATGGTTCGAGAGATCGGTAAATTTTCATTTGCCCTTTCTTGACAAAATTGCGCCGAGATACGAGATCGCGTCACAGAGATGGTGATCCGTGAGTGTATGTAGTATATAGGTGTGAAATTTGTTTGTTTTTTTTTTTTTTTTTTTGTTTTTTTTTTGCTTTCTCGTGCCTCGGAGATAAAAATAAAGCAACAGATAGGCGAGCGCGAGTCGATAAACTAAGCCGTATCAGCGGTAGAATACCGGCTCTTTCCTCATCTTTGGAAGTGAATGTTATTATTATTCCTGCGCTAAATTGATTTGCGAAATGAAGACGGATGGTTGCTTTTTTTCGTCAAACGATCCGTTCCTGCGTCACTCGGACAGCAGCTAAACAATCCGGCGGTGCCGATGAAAGACCGAAAATAAACGAGTGCGCACGGGTATCGAGAGCCGCTTCGAGAGATAATTAATTATCGGTATGGACGGCCAACTCTCGTATGGTCCAACTTCTGTGCCCCCCCCCCTCCGCTCTTTGTCTCTTCGTCTTTGGTGATCTGGTACGCGCAATCGATGAGATGATTAATCGCGGCGAAAGAATGTCCGCGTCACAGAAACGTCACAGTGTGTCCCGATCGAGTGGTCTCTTTTTTTTTTTTTTTTTTTTTCTAGGGCTTGGTTTGTTTTGAGAGGGAAATTGCAGGGTTGTCGCGTCCCATTAGGTCTGCGAAGCGTCCCGAAAGGCGTACCTCGTTTGACAAATGACGCGACAGCGGCCCAACGCCGGAGAGAAGGGGAGGAAAAACGGCGCTTATTGTTTCGGATAATCGAGCCCCCGGCACTCGTCTCCCTCGTTCGAGCTTCCAACAGGTTGATACCGACGGTTTTGTCCTACTTTTGGGCCCTGACGGTTTTTTCCTACTTTTGGGCCCTGACGGTTTTTTCCTTTACCGAGTGACAAATGAGGACACATCATGGGGACTGTACGAAATTGGTATGTTTAAGGCTTTACAGGGAAGTACTTAACGGGTGTTTTACGATAATTAATGAAGAAAATTTAGGTGGGCAACGGTAAACGAGCAAATCTATGCGATTTACCAAAGATACAGCCTGCCGTTGCATCGTAAAAAATTGTCAATCAAAGAAAAAAGTAAGTCATTGTTTGCTGGAAATTTTTTTTCACTTACAATCTCCAAGGACTGTTTTACCGGTTTCACGTAGATTTTATTTTTTCGTTTCAAAAGCAAGACGTGCATTTTTTACTTTTGTTTGGAGACACCAGTGTCCATTTCGCCCTGCGTTGCTGTGTTCCTCTACACATACGTATAATATGTGAAATATCATTGGCACAATGAAAAATCGCTTCAGATTTGATTGTGAGCGCCAATCATACCAAAACCATCGGGCCACGGTTGGAATACGTGGTTACACACGTGAGAAAAATATCAACT